TATATATATATATATATATATATATATATATATATATATATATATATATATATATATATATATATACATTGTAAGCCCTTTATTAAGCTTTCTGCTGATGTTTCCTTTAAAATAGCATACGACTATTTGTAAATCCTGCTCACCTTGGTGGCCCACTTTGCCCTCCGTCTCAGCCTCTGCGCTCTCGTGAACTTCACGACTGCGTGCACCTTAATAGCAGCCTCGCGAAGCATCGCCCCGGGAGTCTTGAACGACGAAATTCCCGAGTTGCACGCCTCGCTTGGTGTGCAATTTTCCTGTGTCACCATCACGTCGCCTTCGGCGACGTCGGGGCATCGCCCCTGTCCATCATCCACCTCCGGCTCCAGGTTTTCCGAATCGCTGAAAGGCGGTATCCACTCGCCCTCCACTTTGCAGTTGTTGAAGTCAGGGGGGAACGAACTTCCGGTGCACACCACCACGGGAATCCCACCGTCGAGAAACAGAACCGGCGCGTCATCGCTGAAACTCGACGGCGCGGAGATCAAGTGAACGGCATCGGAATCTCCTTGGAATGACGACGACGACGCCATGCCTACGCCGACATCATGACCGACAATCGTGTTGGCGTTCTGAGACTGCGTCAGGTCATCGTCGAAGGTCGCCAGCCTAGCCCTGCCGAAGTTGCTGTCTGGCGCGCAACGCCCATCGGCGGCCAGGAGCCGTGCTGGCGTGTAGTCTTTGGCGATGTCCTGCGCTTGACGCCCAACGTGAAAACTGGTTTCCGCACCTCGGGAACCCGCGAACTCTGACTCGTCGATTCGCGGCCACGCACCGGGCACGGCACTTGTTTTATCCTCGGGTGTCATGTTACATTGCCCACACCCGCACGGGTTACAAACTACTCCATTATTGAAATCACGAGCGGCACAAAACGCTTGTTCTTTCTTGGGTCTAACTGTTTCACTCGGCGCATATGACACCGCTAAGTAACATCATCTAAATGCTGACATTGATATTACGGTGTTGATGCTCTGGTTGTTCTTCTACTTCCCCTTTTGAATAGACAACATCAAAGACGTCGACGAAACCGTAATAAGCTCAGCATTTACTTGTCCGCGAACTCTGCTCGGATCACTCAACATCTCCGGTAACACTTCCCCCGCACTCGTGTCGCCGTTTCGTTGTCCATGGCTGGCCGCTGCGGAAAAGTCACATTTGCGTACAGGGAAATGGGGGGGGGGTAGGGAGGGTGTAGTGGAGGAAGAGCTATTCGGACGGCTTAAATGTTATCCGTGAATGCCACTTGGCTGTGATATGAGTGCGGGGGTCCCCGTTTGAATAATTCAAGTGGGAGGGTAGTAGCAATTTTTTTTTTGTGAGTTATTGCGTCTAATGCAGTGGTTCTCAACCTGTGGGTCCCTTTCCCAGGGGTCGCCTAAGTCAATCTGAAAACACATATCCTTACAGCTACGAAGTAGCAACGAAAATAATTGTGTGGCTGGGGGTCGCCACGACACGAGAAACTGTATTAAAGGGTCGCGGCACCAGGAAGGTTGAGAACCACTGGTCTAAATGCATAACAGGGGCAGATAATGTTTTAATTATCTTCATATCCTTAATGGACGACAGATCACGAATACAGGAACCCACGGAATAATATTGGATTATGGAACTTTAGCGTATTCTCCTGAAGACCGCTGTTTGTCAATTTTGTCATATGTTGACGGTGGTATTTCAACGAGGTTATATACTGACTGAGGTATTTCAGTTTGGTCATATTGTGACTGGGGAATTTCAATTCGGTCTTTTGTTAACTGGGGTATTTTGATTGATTGATATATTGGTTGATTGATTGATTACGATATTTATATCACGCTGGTATCCGTTTCAAATCGGTCATATGCTGACTCGGGCATTTCAAATCGGTCATATGTTGACTTGATTCTTTAAAATCGGTCATATGTTGACTGGCGTTTTCAACGCGGTCATATGCTGACTGGCATATTTCAATGCGGTCATATGTTGACTGGTACGTTTCAGGAAACTGCTGGCCGTGAATAACTGATACGTTTTAGGAAACTGCTGGCCGTGAATAACTGGTACGTTTTAGGAAACTGCTGGCCGTGAATAACT